GCACCGGGCCCAGCCCGCGGAGCAGAGGGGAGGGGTGGGAGCAGGGGAGAGAGAGAGAGAGAGAGAGTGAGTGTGTGTGTGTGTGTGTGTTCGCTGGCCGCGACGACCGAAACAGTTTGTGTGTGTGTGTGTGTGTGTGCGTTCGCTGGCCGCGACGACCGAACAAAAAAACTGTGTGTGTGTGCCCGCGTGTCCCCTGCTGCCATTCCGCCGGAGCCGTCACCCTCTGCCCAGCCGCCGACGCAAAAAAATGTGTGTGCGTGTCCCCGCCCGCGCGCCCACCTCCGCCCCCGCTGCTGCGAGCTGGCCAGGCCCCCGCTGCTGTGAGCTGGGCCCGCCCGCGCGCCCACTTCCTCTGTCGGCCGCTGGCCTGATTCCGCCGCGCTCATGCGCACTTGGCCGTGGCGCCAAACAACACGCCCCTCTGTGCGTGTGTGCATGTGTGCATGTGTGCATGTGCGTCTCCGTGTATGAGAGTGTGTGTGTGTGTGTGTGTGTGTGTGTGTGTTTGTGTGTGTTTCGGCCCAGTGTGCCTTCGTCCACTCAGGCTTGAACGCTCCGCTGCCGCTGTCCTTTCCCCACTGGTCTCAACCAGGTTCACACCCCATCATCTTCTGGGACCATCTCGGAAGGCGCGCGCGCTCGTGTGGCAGTGTGTCGCGCTGGCCAGCTCGCACGCGTCACCGGGCCCCGCCCAGTCCCACACTCCCCTCCCCGACGAGGAGCCAATGCAGGCACAGCTGGATCTTGGCATTGGCGCGGCGTCCCCACCCATCGTGCGGAAGGCGCTCTCGCGCGGCCTCGCTCCCGACGACCTTGGCGAGTGCACAGAAGCATGGGCAGCGCACTGGCGCAACCGGAGCTCTGAGACGACCCTGGCGCGGCGCTTCGGCGAGAGCACCCTATTGGGCTCTCCCCTGCGCGCGTGCGGCCACACTTCTGAAGGGGAGCCCTTCCTTGTCGGTCGGCTTTCTCTCTTTCCCCCCCCCTTGTCCGTCGCGTCGGTCGCCTCGTCCTCGTGCGCCCCTCTTCGTCGATACCGTCCTGTCGCGCCCCTGTCTGTCGTCGTTGGCGCGCCTGTCCGTCGTATTTCAACACGCGCGCCTGTATGATACGGTGGTGGCGTTGGTTAAGGAATGTGCCCAGGAGGCTTCAGACCCTGGAGGATTCCTTATCTGATAAGGGCTGCGGTGATATCCATGGCCAATCCACGATCGAAGTTCCACTGGCTTCGAGACCACGGATTCCTTATCCATTGGTTCCTTATCCAGTGCCCCCACCGCAGCCTGGGCCGTCCCCATGGTGCGCGGGGCCCTCCCCATGCCTCCACTCCGCGGCTGCTGCGGGGCTGTGGCGCGTGGGCCTTCTCTCCGCCCAGGGTTGCCCTTCGCGCGTTCGTTCTCGCGTCTTCTCTTTGATTGCTTGTCGCTGGAGGGTTCTCACAAATGTACACACTGTTCATTTCTAATTCTTCGAAAGTTATTCGATTTTTCCCAACCAACCTGTGTTGTTGGGTCCTCATTTTGAAGGGACGGTCCCCGCGTTCCTCCTTCCTCCTTCCTCCTCCTCTCCTTCCTCCTCCTCTCCTTCCTCCTCCCTCCTCCCCCTCCCTTCTGGCACACCCCTCACACGTTTCGTGGCCCCATAGGGAGCTCCACCGAAGGCCCCAGTGGCTGCGCCCGCATGCGGTTCCACCCCCCATTCTGGCACACCCCTCACACGTTTCGTGGCCCCATAGGGAGCTCCACCGAAGGCCCCAGTGGCTGCGCCCGCATGCGGTTCCACCCCCCATTCTGGCACACCCCTCACACGTTTCGTGGCCCCATAGGGAGCTCCACCGAAGGCCCCAGTGGCTGCGCCCGCATGCGGTTCCACCCCCCATTCTGGCACACCCCTCACACGTTTCGTGGCCCCATAGGGAGCTCCACCGAAGGCCCCAGTGGCTGCGCCCGCATGCGGTTCCACCCCCCATTCTGGCACACCCCTCACACGTTTCGTGGCCCCATAGGGAGCTCCACCGAAGGCCCCAGTGGCTGCGCCCGCATGCGGTTCCACCCCCCATTCTGGCACACCCCTCACACGTTTCGTGGCCCCATAGGGAGCTCCACCGAAGGCCCCAGTGGCTGCGCCCGCATGCGGTTCCACCCCCCATTCTGGCACACCCCTCACACGTTTCGTGGCCCCATAGGGAGCTCCACCGAAGGCCCCAGTGGCTGCGCCCGCATGCGGTTCCACACCCATCACGTTGGGGTTCCACCGAAGGCCCCACCGGCAGGCCTCACACGTTTCGTGGCCCCATAGGGAGCTCCACCGAAGGCCCCAGTGGCTGCGCCCGCATGCGGTTCCACCCCCATTCTGGCACACCCCTCACACGTTTCGTGGCCCCATAGGGAGCTCCACCGAAGGCCCCAGTGGCTGCGCCCGCATGCGGTTCCACCCCCCATTCTGGCACACCCCTCACACGTTTCGTGGCCCCATAGGGAGCTCCACCGAAGGCCCCAGTGGCTGCGCCCGCATGCGGTTCCACCCCCCATTCTGGCACACCCCTCACACGTTTCGTGGCCCCATAGGGAGCTCCACCGAAGGCCCCAGTGGCTGCGCCCGCATGCGGTTCCACCCCCCATTCTGGCACACCCCTCACACGTTTCGTGGCCCCATAGGGAGCTCCACCGAAGGCCCCAGTGGCTGCGCCCGCATGCGGTTCCACCCCCCATTCTGGCACACCCCTCACACGTTTCGTGGCCCCATAGGGAGCTCCACCGAAGGCCCCAGTGGCTGCGCCCGCATGCGGTTCCACCCCCCATTCTGGCACACCCCTCACACGTTTCGTGGCCCCATAGGGAGCTCCACCGAAGGCCCCAGTGGCTGCGCCCGCATGCGGTTCCACCCCCCGTTCTGGCACACCCCTCACACGTTTCGTGGCCCCATAGGGAGCTCCACCGAAGGCCCCAGTGGCTGCGCCCGCATGCGGTTCCACCCCCCATTCTGGCACACCCCTCACACGTTTCGTGGCCCCATAGGGAGCTCCACCGAAGGCCCCAGTGGCTGCGCCCGCATGCGGTTCCACCCCCCATTCTGGCACACCCCTCACACGTTTCGTGGCCCCATAGGGAGCTCCACCGAAGGCCCCAGTGGCTGCGCCCGCATGCGGTTCCACCCCCCATTCTGGCACACCCCTCACACGTTTCGTGGCTCCATAGGGAGCTCCACCGAGCGCCCCAGTGGCTGCGCTCGCATGCGGTTCCACCCCCCCATGTCGGCACACCCCTCACTCGTTTCGTGGCCCGGGGCGCCACCGAAGAAGATATCCATAATTGCGGTATTCACAACTACGTATGGTTGGGTCTTTCGTCAGGCTAATTTTGGGCCGAGATCCTTTCATCTCTACTTGCTTTATCCTGGGCCTCTTCCTGGCCACTAGGGGGCCAGGAACGATGAGAAACGAGGACAATTAGAAATGAACACGATTATACATGAACGACGTGTAAGGACCACAGACGAGTCCCACAGGGCGAACGGGGAGCCCGAGGACGTTTGGTCCGGCACGGTCCGGCGGCGGTTTTGCATACGACTTCGCCGCAATTGTTTCAGGGATCGTGCTCTCGCCTCAATACGGGCGAGGACGTTTGGTCCGGCACGGTCTTGCGGCGGTCTTGCATACGACTTCGCCGCACTGTTCTTAGGGATCGTGCTCTCGCTTCAATAAGGGCTACATTTGGCCCAGACGGCCACGATCCTTTTTAAACGCACGGCAGGGTGCACACGACCGTGCTCTCCGTGGTTTTCTTGCCCATCCTTTTGCCAGAGCTCCATTCCTGCGTACGCTTATCACTATCTGGCTCTTGAGAAACGACCGCAGAAGAGCCCCACACAGGAGACGAGGAACCCAAGACCGCCAGGTCCTGGCAGCGGTCCGGTGGCGGTTTCGCTTGAGACTTTCGTGCTCTCGCCCCAATGCCAGCTACATGCCGGTCCGCACGGCCATGATCCCTTATCCCTTTTAAAAGATGCACAGGGGTGCACGTGGCCGTGCTCTCCGTGTTCTCCCTGCTTTTCATGTCGTGTTGTCAAAACTCCACTTTTGCGCGCGGTTTCTACACAAAGTATCACGCCCTATTGCATTTCCGGTTTTCGATTACTTCACCGTGATTCTACAGGCTTACGCCACATCCGCCGACCCCTTCTGTGACTGTTGTGAGGCCAGGAGTTTCGGGCCAGCGGCGTCTTGTGTGAGGGTGCGGTGTCGCGCGCGGGTGGTGGCAGATACGTAGGGGGTCAAAATGTTTGCGTGATGCCGGTGGTCTGGGGCGTGTTTTGCGAACGCCTTGCGTGTTGTGCGCCCGGGTGCGGGGTGTCCTTCTGGGAGGTCGGCTTTTCGACCCTCAACCACGTGGAGGAGCATTGGAAGACGAAAGGAGCAAGAGTAGCGTGCGGAAGCTGTGATCAGCGAAGCATCACCGCGAAAGATTTGGCAGATGAGTCGAAACGGGTGAAGAGGCTGTTGACGTTCGCAGCGCGCACGAAACAGTTCGCGTATCAGCAGCACATTAGCGCCGAGCAAGATTGTGAGCACGTCGCGAGGAAGAGTAAGTCTGCATGCGCGGAGTGCGTTGCAGTTGGTTTGACGGCTCGCAATGCGGAAGCGTCTGGGGGTCTTTTGGAGGCCTCCTGGGGGCCTCTTGGGGGCTCCTTGGGGCGTCTTGGCGGCCTCTTGGGGGCCTCTTGCGGCCTCTTGGGGCACTCTTGGGGCCCCCTGGGGCTCGTGGGGGCGGAAAGCTAGATTTTTGAATTTTTGGTTGCCGTCTTGGGCCCCTCTTGGTGCCTTCTTGAAGCCTTCTTGGGCCGTCTTGGGGACCTCTTGGGTTGTCTTGGGGCCTGGGGCCGTCTTGGGGGCCTCTTGGGTCGTCTTGGGGCGGTCTTCGGGGCTTCTTTGGCCGCCTTGGAGCGTCGGGAAACCCACGAGGCGAATGTGTGGAAACTATACGTTTTACGAAGGAAAG